AAAACCCACCGTACATTTTTAACCAGAGTTTTAATCAAATTAAACTCTCCATTATTAATGTTTTAGAAAATTGATTAAGGTTGTGAGGTTAACATTTTTAACATGTAACATGATAACTAAAATTATGGTCTGGTAAAATATAAAAGTGTAAGAGTTCTTCTCAAGTTTTTTAGTTAGGCATAGCGTAGTTCTTCTTTGAACCAACGTTAAAATTTATTTCAATGCATTTTTCAATGTTTTTGCTACCTTTTAACTTATTTCTCTTGGTACTTTCGTATTATACGGAGACCACCCAAATACAGAGCGCTTCTGCAGTTAGGTTAGGCTGGGTTATCATAATTTGTTATGACTCATCTGGTATCGTTTCGATTCATAATGAAACGAGGAAAGTCCTACAAACATATTTATACCCAACCTAATCTAACTGCTGCAGCGCACTGTAAAATAAGTGGCCTATGTATAGTACCTTTCTCTCATCTAAAATGAACAATTACTTACAAACGGAATGCTGACATCATTCTGTTTCACATCCATGGAGCTTGGCATCGGCATTTTGACTCCTCTTCGTCTTCACTTGCACTGGTTTGACTGATGGATAAGTTTGACTAATGCTGCTGGTTAAGCACAAAACTGTAGTACTATTATCTTTATATTTCAGATTTCTGTGTTATCTGTACATTTATGTCTTGAATATTAGATTTATGATGTATTTTGAACAATAAATACTACTTTAAAGATCATAGTTTGCCTGTGGATTTATTTTATATTACTGTCTTAACCCACAACATTGTTTGATAATTAGTTTAACTATGTTTTAGCACAATTTTTGTAAGAGTAAAAATATTGAATTTCATAAGCTGTTTCAATTACCGGTATTTTTTTAAGACTGAAGCTGATTGATCTACATAATCAGAGAAATGCATACTTCTTGTAATCTCTAGTTATTTTAAAAACTGTATACAGTTTGCAAAGGAAACATTTTAACTTTAAAAGATAAACTATAACCTTGAAATTAATTCCATGTTTTTCTTGAATATCCAAGTTTAATTATCAACTTTTTCAATTCCTGGATTTCTGAATGGACCTCAAGCTATGAGCTAGCAGTACGCCCTACCTATTTCTTAAGTTACCAAACCTAAGAAATTATTTAGCCAGTATTAGAATAAAGTTTTCTACAAACTATTCAACTTGAAATTTATCACCACTTCCCGTCTTTTGATATGTATTAAAAGTAGTCTATTTATTTCAAGAGTTTTATTACATGTATTGCTATTTACTTTCTGTTAACTACCTATTTCAAAAATATCAGACTGTTTTGAAGTTTAAAACTAAGCAAATTAAGAACTCCCTTATTTAGTGATTTGACGACAAATCTTGATCTTGCTGCGTTTTGCTCAGCATTGCCTCTGATGATGAAGTTTAAAATAAGAGTTGCATAGCCCACTTAGCTTAGGTGGAATTATTTCATCATATAATGGATAGGCCTGTATCCATATTGAATATTGGAAATATTGGAAAAATATTCATATTGAATATAGCCTAATGAATAATATATGATTTTTTTAAATATGATACAAATTCCAAAAGTGGAATTGTAATTGATCCAACTATAAGGATCGAAACATCAACAAATCAACCCCTAGAAGTAGAAGAAGAAAAGAGGACAATTTATAGTAAATGTGAAACTTATTTAAGAAACAAATATAATCTAAATTCTATATCAGTAATTGGCAATGATTGGTGCAAGAGGGACTATTACAACATTTTTTGAAGATTTAAAAAAAAATATAATCTTCCATCAAAATTAAAAAATGAAATAGTCATAAAAGTGTTAAAAGAATCATGTAAAATCATTCAAAATCATTTATATGGACAACGTTATTAATCTAAGTGACATATTATTTATATCATAGCCTAAATTTAAGTTTTTTTTTTACTGTGTCTAATAGGCAAAGTTTATTAATAAACTCAGTTTTCAAAATAAAAAATAAATTTATTGAGTTTTATTGAATATTATTTTACAGACAGTATCAGTCATTAGTTGTAATGGGCAAGGACTAGGCCTCTAGCTTATGAATTATGTAATACTGTATTATTTTTTACAAGTGAATTGTTATAACTGATGGGACATGTTCATTGTACCAGGAATAGTTTGATAACTTCACAACATGTTATGATGACATTTTATTCCAAAACCTAGAACAACTTAGTCAGAGTCAGCCCTGTCGCTTTGTACAGTAGCCTAGGTAGTAAATACGTCTCATATAACATTTAAAGTATAAGGGCTTGTTAGTTTTTACTCTCTTGCTCTCTTTCTTTCAATTTTTTTCTGTTATTTTAATGCATCAACTAAACAATTAATCAGGCTACAGTTAAGACACAGAAAACATACTACTATAACCCAGAATGCCAACCGTAGGCCGTGCTGTCAATTCGTAGGCAGCGCCACCAGCGTTGCTATGCACTCAGCATAGCAACGCTGGTGGCGCTGCCTACGAATTGACAGGCAAAGCTCTCTCAACACTTAATGCTTTTTACCATGCGGTTGGCATTATGGGATATAGTAGTAGGCTACCTATGTTTTCTGTGGTTGAGAAGACAAGAATCGTGAAAGGACTGCTAATACAGTAGGCTATTGTCAACCTTTGAGTACCAAGCACATTTGACTTACAAACCCAGTTCTTGACATAAGGTTATTTGTTTGTGGAAAAGATTTATTTAGGTATAATAATTGCAGTACATAAATGAAAATGATGCCTAGGATTTTTCAATTCTAAAAATATAGCCAAGTTCTGATTGATAATGGCAGTTGATTAAGATAGATAAAAATGTTCTCAGCTACTTTTTGCACCCTAAGAAGAATGGTGCATCTGCATTTTTGCGATTACCTTCTACTACCTTGCTTAAAAACTAGAACAATAGATTTTGGGAGGGAAAAGACGGTAGTTTGGTAAATGTGCTGTATCCGGAGGCCACCCTTATACAGCGCGCTGCGCAGCGGTTATGTTAGGTTGGGTTATCACAAATATGTTTGTATGGGACTCCTAGTTTCGTTACAAATCGAACGATACCAGATGAGTCATACCTACTTTTGCACGCCAAATCCTCTCCAAGTAGGCCAAGGTCAGGTCGTTGATCGGAGCACGCGCATCACCTGTATCTGGGGTATTTGGCGGGCGAAAGTATGACTCATCTGGTACCGTTCAATTCATAACAAAACGAGGAGTTTTACAAACATATTTATGATAACCCAACCTAACATAACCGCCGCACCGCATTATGCAGAGTGTGTTGGGCTGTTGGTATACCTACTCGGCGGAGTATAGCGGCAGCAATGCATTTAACTCAATCCTCGCCGACATCGCTGCCTTCTGGGAGGCAGAACTCAAAGGCAGCTAATCGTAATCATGTCAAATTTGGACAGTAAGTCAATTAAAGTATGTTCTTTCCAATTACCTATATAGTTATTTTTTGTCTCCAGTAAAATTTATCTCTAAAATAATAAGTGGCCACCGAATAATACATAAGTACCAAAAAGACTCAGATAAATGTTATTTTGAAAAAGCCGGGAAACCACCACCTTGTGGTTAATGGCATGCAAACATTTGGGCTAATCAATGCAAACCACTGAGAGGGTTAATCCTTACTATAGGGAAGTTCATAAAAACCAATTCAAGTTAAAAGGTTTCCAAAATAGAACATTTGTATTCAATACATTTAGCACCTGGTAGCATTTTAATTGATGAATTACAGGTGTTTTTTTGTAATAACCATTAATGATACACTATCAAACAAAGTTGAAACATTGTCTATTGTATATCCTTAAAGTGTTTCCTATTAAATTCAGGTTGGTAAAACTTTCATCTAGCCCAAATTTTTTTCTCCTTCAGACTGAAAAACCTTAAATTGGGTCAGGAAAAGTTCTTTTAAAATCTTCCCATACGTGGGCCAAATTTAAATCATACCGTACCATCAAGAATATGCCTTTAGTAGCACTACCTATATTTTAAATTTTGCACAATTGGAGAAGCCCTAAGAAAATTCCCGACAAGAGCAAGGCCTATAGGCTATATATAAAAAAACTTGGACGAATCGTGTTTTTGACCTCTGGGGACATTAAAATGAAAAAGTAAATCAGTCCCGGGACTAGGTCTTATCCTGCCACCTGCGATAATAACTAACTTACTTCCCAATAAGGAAATTCGCTAAAATGTTAGAATATTAATGTCAGCCCAATATAATTATCATCTATATATATAAAAGGCAAAGCCCTCACTGACTGACTGACTGACTGACTGACTGACTGACTCACTCACTCACTCATCACTAATTCTCCCACTTCCCACTTACCTAAGAGGCTGAAATTTGGTACACTGATTCTTTAGGCATTAAATAGGAAAACTAAGTGGTTTTTATTCTGATCGGACTCTCGGGCTCCGCCCCAGTGGCTCTGGAGTTTCCCATGGTAACCTAATGAGTACTCATATTTAAATGGAATTAATGAATCATAACAGCTGTTTCAATTAAACAAGTTGGTTGTGTTCTATTATGTTCAATAGCATTAAAGTTACAAGGATTACCAACAGAGTGCAGCACTATTATTTTTTTAATATTTGACAACAGCTAATTTGAAACCAAAAGGTGAGTGAGCGTAGCGAACGAGCTAACCTGAAAGCAATTGAGCGCAGCGAACGAGCTCCAACCGTAAAGGTGAGTGAGCGTAGCGAACGAACTGCAACAAGACGTGTGAGCGCAGCGAACGAGCTCCAACCTAAAGGTGAGTGAGCGTAGCGAACGAACTTCAACCAGGACGTGATTGAGCCATGCGAACGAGCTCACATATGAAGTTAAACGGGGCAAAGCCCGCGGGTACAGCTAGTCACTTATAAGTGAGCTCACATGCTGCCAAAGACAATCATTTTAACTAACTTAGGCATTCTATTAATAACATTTAAAAAATGTCTAAGTTTGGTATTTTTGGGAAAAGAAAACTCTTTCAATTTTTAACTAGGCCTATATTTTCATTTCAACAATAAATGGATTGGTGATCTGATAAAGTAATTTACATTACATACAAACAAATATATAAAACATAGATGTTCAGGAATTGGTTAACATTAATTAATAATATCCAAAAAAATACTGCAATTTCAGGAATGTTAAGTTTTACATAACAATGCGGTGTTCAAAAATAAATGCTTAAGTTTAATCAACCTTTATATCAGGCAAATACTTCACTGAACTGTTACAGTGAACAGGACTAAGAAGAATGGTCAACTAAAACTGTACCGGTATGATAGAAGATCTTTCACTTATTGCTACAGGAATGTTTTCAAAAGCAACTTGATATTGTTGATTTAAGACTTACGCCAGCTTTCCTTCGGCCTCAAGTTTCTTCTTCAAGGATTCCGGCATCTCTGGCGGAGGTGGTCTTGGTATTGCTAGGGCGACTTTAACAAAATCATAGATGAACCATTGCAGAGCGGTAAGGGTACCAATCATGACGATTCTCGGAGCTAATCCCTTCCACATTGCAGCAAAGCCTAGCTTCTTGGCAACTTGTAATGCAGAAGCACCCTTTTCTTGATTTAACTTAGACACAACAGTGTCAGCAGGATGGGAGACAATCGCACAGAAAACTCCAGCAATGTAACCAGCAGCAAATGTAACTACCAGTTGTTCACCCTTAGTGCAATCAGCTCGAGGTTTTGGGACAACATGTTTGTAGAGCAGTTCAACAGTGCGCTCAAAGCAGGCAAATTTCATCATTGTGTAAGGGATCTGCCTCATCCAGAGGGGTACTAAACTTTTATAGAATGCGTTGACACCTTCTTCCTTGTACATCTTTGGAACCGCTTCTCGTAGTGTGTTGGCAAAACCAGGGGTAGTTTGAATTTTAACCTTAACAGCCTCCATGGGACTCAATGCAATGTCAGCAAAGAACTCGGCTGAAGCCGATGCAGCAAGGTAGAGGCCAGTTCTGTACAAGAAAGCGTTTTCTTCACCCATCATGTCAGAGTACAGAATTTTGAAGTATTCATAGAAGCCGAATTTGCACAAACCTTGAGCTGAGTAACCAAAAAATGTTGGGGCCCAACCTTTGGCTAGGGCTTTGAATCCTTCTTCAGCTACGGTAACCTTGAAGCCATTTACTACAGACTTGTACTTGACTGGATCTACTTGAAGTCTACATTTTACTAGATCTAAGGGTACAACCATTGTATGAGTTAGACCGCAAGATAAAATACCTCCTAATCCACAGAGTGCGAGATATTTTGATGACCCAAATTCGCAGCTATCTCCGTCCTTCACTGCGGTAGCAGCTATGGTTCTTCCTGGTACGAGAGATGTATCATATCCCTTAGAGTCGCACTGTACATACGTGAATGGTGATCTAAATGGGCTGTTCTTGGACATTTCGATTACTGAGGACCACATATTACTATATAATAATTAGCAATTAACTAAACCAAACGGAATGGACGTCACTCGAAGAACATCGATTCGAGGAAAAGAAAGAAGAAGGAGAAGAAGAACGAAGAATACAATACAAATTTCAGTGATCATGTGGTCCGTGTGCTACGGACAATTTTACAGAATAACCAACGTACTGTAAACGCAGAAACAATATACTAAGTAATAAAATGGTCATACTATAAATAAAACATACAAGTTTTGGTGTATTTTCCTTCCACCATGGTCTATGGTCATACCATAAATACCACAGCAAACCTGCATACTAAGTGATCCTCCATTTGCCTGATTTGATTATCAATTAAATCTATTCAAATAACAATAGGTTTAACGAGTACCTAGGTTTGCAGCCCACAGAGAGGGTAATAAATAAATAAAAATGCCTTTATTTGCAAGCGAGTTTCATATAAATTTTTTTCAAACTTACTCAAGTCAAACTAAAACTAAACTAGCCTAATATATACACAAATATAATATGCAAATAACAACAAAGAAACAAAACATTTACAATTTACATATCACAGTTGTTTTGACCCTGAATGAACCATATGATTTGGAGCTCTTTATGTCCTGAGGGAGGTCGTTATACAAATACAGGCTGAAACAAGAAAAATAATTTTTCAAACCTCAACCCTCACTTTAAGAAAGTGAAGCCTGCGGTCGAAACAAGCACCACACAGACAGATCGCCCCCTGTACAAGTAGTACTGAGTACAAGTTGTACTGAGAGGCTCTCCCAGCGTGAGCACTTTGTGGAACAGGCAGCAGGTCATCCTCCTGCACATGTCATCCATTAGGATGAGCTTTGCAGCATATCGGAAGGAGGACACGTGGTCAAAGCGGTCAATACCAAAAATGAACCTTATGGCAGAATTTTTAATTCTCTGAACCTTTGCCATATCCTCCTTAGAGATGCTGTTTCCTTATGTAGGAAAGCAATATGTAAAGGCTGGGGGATCAAGGACCGCATTGAGTTGCATTTTGGCATATTCCGGCAGTAGAGTTTTAAATCTGCTAAGACCTCTCAGTCTACCCACTGCGCGTTGAACTGCAGATGTGACATGGTCAGAAAAATAGAGGTCTTTGTCAAGTACAACACCAAGCGTGTCGACAGTGTATCAGTATCGCAAACGGACAATCTCATGCCATCAAGGCAGATTTACTCAATTCCTGCATCATATAATGATGGGTCCAGTATGCATGACTACACACTTGTCAACATTCAATCCAAGGCCGCTGTGCAAATCAGCATTGATGAGCCGAATTGCTTAATATTCTGATGTCATGTCTGGCTTTGTATGACAAGTAGTGTAGTTGGCAGTCATCAGCATACAAGTGTGCTGTACAATATTGTACACTTATGGACAAGTCACACGTGTACAAATTGACAATTTGTACACGTCTGACTTGTCCAGGAAATTGAACAGCACAGGTCTCAAAGAACTACCTTGAGGAACGCCACGCAATTTGCAATGCGGATCTGATGTCTCACTGCCAAATTTGGCAACCTGCAGTCGGGACACCAAACAGGACCGAAACCAACAAACAACTTTTTCACTGCAGCCATATCACTTAATTTTGGTCAATTTATGATCAATAGAGTCAAATGCTTGAGAATAATCTAGAATAGCTAATGTGATGTAGAGTCCTTCATCTTTGGCATCGAATAGATCCGCAAACATATTAGTCAGTGCAGTACAAGTACAGCGATTGTTTCTAAACCCTGACTGTTGCTTTGGCAATATATCAAAAGCATCTAGAAAAGAAGCAATTTGTTTAGTTAATATGTTTTATATTAGTTTTGACATTGCAGATAACACAGAAATAGGTCTTAAATGCTGGACGGTTTTTGGCGCAGCAACCTTATAGGCAATGGTTTCACATGGGCAATCTTCCAACTTTTAGGAAAAACACCAGAGGCCAGGCTCGTTTATCAAATGTGTTATTGCTCCAATTGCATATGGGCTAACATATTTTATCATTTGTATCGATTTACTATTAACACCTAGAGCTTTTGATTTCATTGAGTTCATTGCCTCTTCAACATCATTTTTTGTAATAGTTTTAAATTCAAACTTATCGTTATCTCCATGTTTTTGATATTTTTGAAGTTTATTCAACAATTCAATGTCTTTAATATTCATTTATCTTATTAATGTCTAAATCAGGGGGGAGCCTACTATTTCTCTTACTACTTACAATCTCACAATTTTTTTAACAATTCCAGAACTCTGCAGGGTTTTCAGATGAGGCAAGCTTGTTAGAAAATAATATTTTCTTAGCTTCTTGGATCATGACATTCATATTTTCTTATGGTTTTATACTCATACCAGTATGAAGAATCTCTAGTCCTCCAATATTTGTTACAGTGTTTATTTTTAACAATTGACAATTCTTTAATTGTTTCATTTATCCAAGGAGCTTTTTTCCGTGTTACCTTCTTACAAACAATAGGAGCATCCTCATCAAACACTTTCTTTATATGATCAGTAATATATTGCTGTATCTCTAGTGTTATATAGTCAATGTTATGATGTAGTAACCTGAGCGCTCAAAAGTTTGTTCGCGGGCGGAATTTTACCCCCGCGGATTTGGAAGTCTAATGAAAATAGACAGAGTGTGATTAATTAAATTAGCAATAAAAATCGGAATTTTACCCAGTAGCGGTTCCAAGGGGGGGGGCTACAGGGGCTTAGCCCCCCACTTGGACCCTGGAAAAATAAATTTAAACGTACCTACGTTTCGTCCTTAAAACACGCAATGTCATAAAAGAGACATCAATGTAGTTTTTATTAAACTTAATAAGCGATGGCAGGAGTAGTATTAAGTTGCACATAGATAAACTTTGTGGACAATAGCACAAAGAATAAAACAATAACGCTATTGAAGGTTGTACGCATCATCCAATTTTTACAGCAGTCAGCTGTTGACATGCTAAGGCAAAGGCGAGCGCCGAACGAGGACGGTGAAACAGCTGATTTCCTGATGTTCCATAGTTAGTTTTCAAATTGTCTGCTAGCCACTAACTTTACACAGGCATCAATCAGCAATCAGCGGTAGCACCAGTAGCCTATTACCATTGACTATATAAACACTAGTGTTAATTTTATATAGTCAATACTATTACTGAATTCGATACTATACATATTGTGACAGATCTATGAAATTGAGAAAAACGTAAGGTTAAAAAACGTGTCTACTTGCTTGCATGACATATAACAGGTGAAATTGAAGGTTTTATGACAATATTGGGCACAGTTCTAGACGTTAGAAATGGCTTTGTAAAGTCACCAAACGGCTTTTAGGAGATATGGCTTCGTATTCTACAGTAGGCCTATGTTTTGAAATTCATGAATGCAAGTTCAACATAGTTTGATTTTTTAAATGTCTACTTACTCATAACAAAGATAAATAACAGGTGAAATGGGAGGTTTTTGGACAGTTAGACACAGATATAGACATTAATAATGGCTTTAGAAAGTCAGTAAACAGCTTTTAAGAGGATATGGCCGTTGCCTACAATATGTTTTGAGATTTATGAATGCAATCGTCATAGTTTAATTTTTTAAATGTCTATTTGCTCATGACAAACAACAGGTGAAATGGGAGTTGATGGACAATTGGGCACGGTTTCAGGTGTTAAAAATGGGAATTCATTGTCCTACTTCTGGATATTGCTTTATATTAATTAAATTATTTTGTTGCCTTACAATATCCTGTTAGTGTTGGTAGATAACTACATGTTTCGTGGCGACTGCCACATCCTCAGGTTATCCTCTTCTCAGATTCGTCATCAATTTAAACATAAAACACAGAACACACGTAGAAAAAACACATTACATTTATTTTGGTACCGTCGCGGTGCGTGCACGCGTTTGGTCGGGCCGGCGGCGACCAAACGCGTGCACGCACCGCGACGGTACCAAAATAAATGTAATGTGTTTTATGTTTAAATAGATGACGAATCTGAGAAGAGGATAACCTGAGGATGTGGCAGTCGCCACGAAACATGTAGTTATCTACCAACACTAACAGGATATTGTAAGGTAACAAAATAATTTAATTAGTTAAAAATGGCTTTAGAAAGTCACCAAACTGCTTAGAAAATTCCAAATTTTTCCGGGGGAGGACCCCCTGACCACCCTGCTTTATTGGTGGGTGCTCCACACCCCCCAAGCCCCCGGTAGCCCCCGGTAGGCCTTGACAAGGTCCTAGAACCGCCACTGCGAAATCCCTGTCCATATAACTAGCGTTTAGACAACTGAATATGTACAGGCCGGATTTTTACCCTAGAATTTTACTCGCGGAATTTAACCCCGGATTTTTATCCCCTGGCCGGATATAAAAATTATTAAGAATAATTGATTTTCTATTTATATTTTTATTTAATTGTAAACATTTTATTATTAAGTGGCCTATCTTTATTTATTTATTTTGTAATCTCAACTAAGTAAAAAAATCGCTGTTTAATTTTGATCATATTAACCAACTTCAATGATCGAATCCTGATACTCGACTCAAACCTGTTCAATTAGTTGATGTTACAAATAAATTAATATAGGCTACTTAACAATAAAATGTTTGCTATTAAATTAAAAATTGAATGAAGAGAATTCTCACTAATTTATATATCTGGCCAGGGAGTAAAATTCCGGGGGTAAAAATCCGGGCCATACATTTTGAGCTGACCTCAAGAAGGGGGTAAAAGTCCGGTGGTAAAACTCCAGCCCGTACATTCTAGGTTTTTATAACATGATGTGTTCTGATTAAATTCTCAACCGTGAAAATATACGTTTGATTCCGCGTTTAATCCATTGAACTGATGTCGCGAAACTCAAAATTTCGCTGCCGTAATTTCATCCCCTGGTTTGTGACGTCACGTTTGCCCAGGGGGTAAAATTCCAGGGGGATTAAAACGTGGATAAAAAACCATGAGTATGTTTTATCATAGACTAACCAACACAAGTAGACTTCTCATCCCATTGTAAATTTTGAAGCTCGTTTTTCATGTCTAGTTCATGTATGCCACACTGGGCGCTAGTGTCGACGAAATTTTGTTTCTATTATTTTAGGGTTAATTTCTTGATTTGTGCTTTACTGTTTGGTTACTGTTGGTTAATGTTCATTGAATAACTAGGGGAAAATTTATTGTTTATGATTAGATCGTATTATTTGGTTAAACGAGGTTTTAAATGACTGTATTAACGGGAAACAAATTGTAAACAAAACACGACCTCTAACATAAACCGTACAGAACTAACAATACAATTGTCTTCAGCTGTTCCATTAGGATGAGAAATCTACTAAGGGAGTATGTTTTAATGGTTTTATCTATGATAAAAATCTGTTACTCCGTTTAGGCTTTTTCTCCATATTTTTTTGTCACTTTGCAGTCTGCTCTGCTGTTTTTTTAATATCGGATGTAATGTACTCTGTGTTGTGTTTTGTATTTTCATATTCTGCTGGGTTTTATAGGTTAAGTGAGTTGTAAATTTTGAAACTTTTGTTTATTTTCGTCCCGTTTGACATAGTTTTCTGTTTGCTTGACTTAAATGAACTGTCCTGCTGTTGTGCGTTTTACATAAAATAAAATGAAAGTGACAGTAACAACATTATCAGGAGATTTGTTTGTTCTCGATGTTGGAGAAGATTTGGAATTGGAAAATTTCAAAGCTTTCTGTGAAATTGAATCTGGATTTCCAGCTCCAGAAATTTCGATTGTTCATAATGGACGACCTTTAATTGGTAACAATAAATCAATGAAAAGTCATGGGGTTGTAGATGGGGATGTTGTTGTTCTTCAACACATTGCTTCAGGATCTCAGAATCGCCCCATGAATTTCACTGCTCCTGATCAAGGTTTGTAATGTTTTGTATTTTTTATAGGGAACACCAGAGTACAGTTTCTTAACTGAGCTTCGCTACTATCGATTGAAAATATCGATTTGAATAGGCTAGTAAGTTAAACCTTCGTGTGATTTTTTTAACTGTAGGCCTATCAATATTATAAAATGCAACTGTTGTTTCCACCTTAGGTCAGGGAAAAATTGGGACACTGCCCCCTCCCTCCCGGATTAACATAAATAGGCTTTAATACGGGCGTAAGGAATCAAAATCGGAACTGTCCCGGCAGAATCGGGACGGGTGGCAACCCTGACGTAACCAAACTTGCCGATAATACCAAAATCGAAAGGTCTACTAATCGAATCAATAGTTTCATAACCCAGTTAATTAACTGTACCTGAACACCATAACTTGGTCTATAAACTAGCTTATAGGGACTGCCATACATTTTCATTGATATCAGTCTAGTGTAGGTATTTTATTTATGATGTACGAGGGCAGTCTTTTTTTCTGGTTGGTTTTTTGTACAAGAGTGAGTAGGTAGCATGTAGCCTAGGCCTACGTAGGATGGTATACCTGGGATTGATAACTCATAAGGTAGGTACCTATAGGGTTACCGGTAGTTATTATCTTAATTGATTTTCAACTTATTGTCCTGGAACTCAACCAGTCTTTACTTCTTTTAGTTTTGTCTTGTAACTTTCCCAAAACCCTAGTATTGTGATGAGGGTGGTGATGGTAAGCAATGTGCAAACTTGAAAATGATAAGTTGTTCATCATTAAGTTACTGCAAAGAGTACCGGATAGGTAAAATGTTAGGAGTTTACTTTTGCAGAATAGCCTAAGTTACCATGTTGCTAGAGACCCAAGTTCTGAATAAGTAGGCTACAATTGCTGTACGGTAGTAACTTATTACTATTTAATTGCAATTATAACTTGAGTGATCTTTCAGTTTTGTTTAACACTCTCTTTACGTCTTGGCTTTTGAAATCTTAACTTAGATCCCTAAACATAGTGCTAACGAGTGAAAATTTAAATACCCCCGCCGCAGCAAACCTGCAGACTAAGCGAATTTCCATTTGCCTGATTGGATTTAGACTAAAATGTCTCCTTACAAAAAAAAACACATTTATTCCCTATTTAAATAGAATCAGTTTAACACATACTTAGGTTTGCTGCAACAGGGAGGGTAAAAGTGTTTTTTTATGTAAAATGTTAATAGTTAGTAAGAAATAAAAACATTTTCCAAATTTGGGCAAAATATGTTAATAAACAAGCACACTACAACGGTTTACTTATTCTCCATAAGAATAACATGGGAATTTTAAATTAAAAATTTTTTGGAATTTTCTCCGTAACCATTAGGCGCATTATAACGCTTCAATATACTAAATTATTTGTTTTTTTAAGCTCTACAAAATAGTTTGGAAAGAAATTTCAAAATTTTATGTTTTTTGGGTCAAAAATAGGAAAAACTCATTTTTACCCCATAAAAGCCCCCATAAACCCCTGTTCCCATGGTCCGATCATGCTGGTTCGCGAACTCGTTCGCATAAACTAGGTTTACACGTTTGTACCAAATTTCATCAAAATCGGATCATTTTTGCTCGAGTTATCGCGCTAACGGACACATATAGGCCTATATATATATATATATAAATATATATATATATATATATAAATATATATATATATGAATTTGAACGGATGGTGTTTTTGGCCTCTAGGGACCTCAAAACGAAAAAAAAAATCGGTCCCGGGTCCAGGTCTTACCATGAGTACTACGGTAATAGCTTAAAATTCCCTATATGGGAAATTCGCTAAAACGTACGTTTTCATGTCCCTGGCCTTTTATTTCGTAGATACTGGATTTGAAGTTTATTATTATGTGTTTTAATATTTTTTGGGACGGGGGCTACATGTTACACACATTTATTTGGTTTTAAATAGGTTCTAGGTATTTTTTTCGTATTTTTAAAGTCTCGAAATTCTCGACCATGACGTGTCCCTAGGGTACATTTTCCAACTTTCACGCTGTTTTTAGACTAATTATTCATGCCGAAATATATAAAGCCATATTTTTATGTCATCAGTGGTTATTAAACTTACAAAAAAGGAGCATATTATAATTTTATTGTCATTGCAAACTGACTACCACGACAAAATAAGTCTGTCCCTCGATTTGGCGTCACGACCAGTTATCTTGGAATTACAAGATTAATAAAGGAAAGATTGTGTTTTTTGTAATTTTGGTGTGTCCATGACCGTACGTAGTCATTCGATGAAGTAGACATGGTGTTAATTTTTGTTTATAATATATTTCAATTGCTAGATTAACCTAGAAGTTCACTTTGTATCCTCGAACATGAGGTGCAGGGCTACCGCCAGAACAGAGCCAAATAACACGTAATTTCACGACCAAAGTTTCACGACCATCGCGGGTTTTTTCACAACCAATCCAGCCTTATGGATTATAGTGTGTTTGGTCGTGACAATAACTTTAATATAATTGTAATTTGAACAGTTTAGTTCAATTGAAACACTTATTTTTATTATAACTAACAGTATAATTGAAGGATTGTTTAGAAAGATTTAGATTATTTCAGAAAATTCACGACCGTACCGCTTGTCCCTGACCATCACGTTTATGATTTCTATCATAAAAATTTCAAAAATTAAAATATCGTCATATTTCAATGTTTTATACACAAAAGAAGCACACCTCTATACAAAAATAACGATTTTTCGGGTCTCAGTTAAGTTTTTTCGGAGTTATACAAACTTAAAAAGATTTTAGTGGTTTTTTTCAATTTTTTGAGTTTTTTTATTTTTTTCTAGAAAGACCAAATATACCAAAAGCTTAGTGACCTTTTTATTGTATAATGGTCATAAAAGTAAATTAGTTTATAGCAAAACATAGTTATAAAAATAATATTAACTATTTTTAATATTCATTTAAACGTCTGTTATGGTCGTGACAGGATTTTGTGTTTTTTCACTAAAGATGCTCTTTTTTTAAAAAAATACCAAAGATATTGCGTTACCATGGACATTTTATGAAACTTCAAATGTTAATGAAATAAAAATTATAATAAAAGTTTTGAAAAAAAGGGGAAAAAAATTTGCAAAGTGCTTTTCCTGAAAACGTACGTTTTTAAATTTTCACTCTAACACAAGTGATATACCTATTTAAGGGATCCCCAAAACGGTGTAACCATTGAGGGCAATGTATGAATAGAGACCCCTTCACAATCATTCAGCAGTTGAATTGCATTTTTTGTCTACAGTAGGTAGTATAATCTAGTCGTGCTGCCCTAAATACAAACATACCTCTGCTAAAATGGGTAGGTAATCAATTTATTAGCTTGAATAGAAAGGCCTAGCGCACACGTTCGATTTTTCATAAAATAAAACGCCCTTGATTTATGTCTAGGCGAACACGTGGCGATTTTTTAGTCGAGAAATTGATTTTTTTTTAGTGCGTTTAAGCTATCCTAAAATGGACTTTGTTGAATTAACCTGTGTTTGTGCTCTTCTAATTAGACCAAAGAAAAAAAGAAGACAACCTAAATATTGGGTTCATCCGATAGTAAGTCAGAGACTTTAAAATCGACAGTTCTATAAACTATACACTTTACGTAATGACAGTAAAAAATTCTTTAATTACTATAGAAATGTCCTTGAAATGTCTGTTGAAAGTTTCAGTTTTTATTATACAAGCTGTGGCAATTTTAGCAAAGAAAACAACACAACTCACACTACTCCTGTGGAGAACAACAAGAGATTGGCCTATTTTTTAGTCGACCATGTGCGCGGACTGATGACAATCTGTACGTTACAGATTTTCGGGGACAATCGCCTCGCCTAGGAATCTGTGGCAAAACCCAAATTTTAAAATCGGCGCAATTCTCGATCGCCTGTGTGCGCGCTTCCATTAAAATACATGATGCACAGATCGGCCGATGAAATAGTCGCCTCAAAATAATCGCTCGTGTGCGCCTAGCCAAACACATGGCTATTTTTTTTTTTTATACATAGGCTACTAGCAGAGTACTCGTCCTTCGTATGGGGTTGGCATATAAGTTTAAAATGCTTATTGCAGTTATACTCAAGCTTTGCGTTTCCAATGGGGGAGGAAAAAGTTTGATCAAATTTGCTTCTTTAAATTGACGGAATACTATAGTATTACTCATCTACCAAAGCCATAATGTTCTACCACTTCCCCTAAACAATAAAGACAAATTACTTAATAAATTATTAAAAATTCGCAAAAAAAATCACAAACTATTCATGACATTAAAAACATAAACATAACTGTAGGCCTAAACAATCCTACTTTGACAGTTCTCTTTGCGTATCACAGTTTTTTGTTGCTGCTTAGTTCAAATTAGCTGTTTACATAAATGCAAAAAAATATACTGCTGCACCCTGTTAGTAATTCTTATAACTTTTTAATGCTTTTGTATATCATAGAACCAACTTTTTTAGTTGAAACAGCTGACTAAATTCTTTAATTCCCTCTAAATATGAATACTCATAAGGTTAACATGGGGAACTCCAGAGCCACTGGGGCGGAGCCCAAAAGGATTTTTGATATAAGAATATTCTTATATGTTAATCGGGAATGTGAGCTATCATCATGCCAAATTTCAGCCTAATCCGTCCAGTGGTTTATGCGTGATTGAACTTCAAACACACAAACAAACAAACACACAAACTTTCACATTTTATAATATTAGTAAGATTTAAAACCATGTGATCAATGCAAAGGTAAACTAGCTGTAAGTTAATGTAAACACAATTATTATTATTGGCCTTCATTGCTACAAACTATTTAGCCTTCAATGTTTTGATCTTTTTCTCAAGAGCTGTTCGCGGGGTAAGGACTTTTTAATTCAAAAAAATTTCTGCTGGTTTGAACAAAGAAATTATGTTTTTTATACCATTTGAACTATCAAGGTCTTTACTTTTATGTAGCCATTATTTGTTTAGTACAATTAAAAATAGGCCTAAGTTAGATGCCTTTTGTAATTAATATATTTAAAGGCTACTGGTATAACTTACTCTCTAATTAATACATCGCTTATGAAATACAAATAAAGTTAATGAACACAAAAACAAAATAAACAACATTCAACTTATTAGGCTTCATGGTATCCGGTATAAAAATCCTGAGAAAACCAAAACCCAAACCTACATCTAGAAACATTCTAACTTAGTAGCAATATGTAGGCCTAGGCATAACCTACGCTTAATTCTTTTGGCATAAACTATAAACAAAACTAAAAACATTTCAAATAAAAATCATTGTTGTTGGTTAACAGATATAGGCTAATGAAACAAAGCAACGGAAATGTATACAGTACAGCTAACAAAATAAAACTCAGTGATTAAAAAATTACAGTAGACTCCCTCTTATTCTTGCCAACCCTAACAAGTCGGATAACTCAAAAGGTCGGTTAAAACGGGCAATCTCTAAAAACTAAAAAAAATGAAGTGCTATTAATTTGAAATTACATAACTTATTTAAGTTAATCATCAAAGTTCTGTAGTCGTGCATGCATACATTATTTACAAAATAAACTACCTACTCTTATCTCCTTTTTTTCTTAAGTACTGTAGGTGTTATTCATATAGGCCTAAGTATTTATCTTAAGTATATAGTATATCTATAAGTATATAGATAAGTAAGAAAAAAAAGAGAAAAAAACAGTGAAGTCAAATATTTTCAGTGGAACAAATTGACTCTTGGTTGTTGGCAAGAGTAAAAAAAAAATTTTATTACCTACTTAATTCTTCGTTACAAGACGGAATGTTTATTTAAGGTTATACAGCATCATCCTGTAGAGTTTAGCGTATTGTTCCCATCGCCGAGTGTGGGAGTGGAAATGCCAAGATTCCTAGGAAGTGACAGTTGATAAACCTTACTGCTTGTAAAACAAGGTCGGTTAAAACAAACTATAATATTTTACAGCGAGGTTAATTATTGGTTAATGTGAGGTCGGTTAAGGTGGGATATACTGTAATTGTAATATACTGTAACAAATTAATAACTCGAGGTCAGCAACCTATCTAAGAACTACAAAGCTACATCTTTAAACAATCCTGCTATAGAAAACAGTTTTATGGCTAAATCAGGGGTGCCCATCCCCCCCTAGACTCATGACGCACCCCCCCCCCCAATAAATGAGGTACATAACAACAAATGAGAAACATTATTCCCCCGCCCAGTACTATTTGTAAAAAAAAGAAGTTTTATACTTTTTTTAGATATTAAAAATTCAAACCCAGTTAATCTATATAAATAAAGTTATAGTTGTGTCTGTACATTGCTCAGAATTATACATATTTTGGGTAATTTTTACGTTTTATACATTGAAGAAGTTGAAAAATGTCTTATCTCAATTTATGTCCGTCTGTCACGGCCCAGAAGGCATTTTACGCATCCTACTCTAAAGAAAACTAGAGTACCGATTTAATTGTATTCACAGGATTGGCGAGAGTGTCCTTAGCCATTAAAATATGGCCTCACTATTTTGGAAATAAAATAACGGACGATCAAAAACCCAATTTTGTGTGATTTTTCTAGTTTTTTTTTCTCCATGTTTAGGCCTACTACATACGTCATTTGAACAGCTGTTTTGATAAAGATTCCTTTTTCTAGCTGTCACTGATATGTTTACATAAATGTTGTTTACGAATACTGTGTAGGCCCTAACCATTTCCGATCACGTTTATAAGCAAATCCAAAACCAAGTGAGATTAATAATTGTGTGGCTTTGGCTTACATAACGGGTTTGATTTATCACGGGTACTAATATGTAACTGTAAATTAAATTAAATAACCAGCCATCATCCAGGTCGGGAACCAGAGATTCTGTGTGTATCAATTTGGAAACATCACAGCTCCTTTGATGAAAATGAAGTGGAAACAACGCTTGCTCCAACAATCGTCTGCTCCGTTTTACACATCTGTCATTCTGTCTGCTGTGCGCTATGTTACAACAGATTTCAGATACAACAGCTGAGGAATGATGACGATATAATGCTTAGTAATCTGTTGATTGAGTGATTAGTAACCATGGTATCTTTAGTAAGGCTGTGATTGGGCAACGAGTAGGCCTAAATATGGCGACTTGTTGAATTTGTGTATGAATTGAAAGTAAACCTAATAAAGAACGGAAGAACAAAGAAAAAGAATAACATGATTGTTCTCGTTACATTCTTTTTTAAGAGTGTTTTTACTATCTCTAAATATAATTTTACACTTTTTTATTACTCATCTATCAATTCCTATGCTGTGATACAGCACCTACTGGTAGCCTATCTGTCTATCATGAGCAGTATGTTATAACACTTTTTAAAGGTTCCTTTAATATTTACGTTATTTATAGCAATGCAGTGTTTGGCTATAGTTATTAGTTGAATTTGAGTTAGCTATAATTTTAAGCGTTGCCGTTTGTACAACTGAACCAAGATAAATCATTTGAAAAGTACAATAATAATGTTATTGCACAATAATAAGGATTGTGCAATATTGAATTTCTTTTATAAAAATACAAATCGTGACGTTAATGGCTGTTTGCAGCGTTTTAATGGGTTTGTCATCTATTTTTATACTATATTGGATTAACCGTATTTGTCATTACCCCATTACCCCCCCCCCCTCCCTATTAACTCAGGTAATCGATTATCTAAACAATAGTGTAAAGTATTGTAGCCTATGCTACTTGATTGTATTTTAACGAGCTTTATGTCAACAAAGTGTTCTGTGCTGAGTCGCGGTGTAGCTGGACGTGTCTGTACCACGCGTTATCTTTATCTATCACAGCAGTTGAGCCATGCGTCCCCTCCCTCTTAGATCTCACGTCTTGCTAATCTTGAATAATAACTTCCTACAGGAATCCTAAACTATCCGTAAATCATTTTAACTAATTGAATTCAATAGGCTAATATAACTATTGTCATTAATTAATCTACTTTATATCTGGCGACTTTGTAATATATTTTTGATTGTCTTGCAATTCACTTTAGCCACCCCCCCCCCAATTTGAATTTTTACGACCCCCCCCCCAAGAATTTCAATGACGCAGTCTGCGTCACAGCCCCCCCTTGTGGGCACCCCTGGCTAAATAATGTAGGCTACCCACCTATTTTCTTTGTAAGTTACTGGGTATAAAACTCACAGTCATTTGCTTTCAAGTGATATTTGTTATTCAATTACAAAATAAGGATTAGTGTAGGCTACATATTATTTATAACGGTCGTTACTATTGCTCTGTTATAGCAGGGCCTCTGACAGGTCTAGACTTCAGCAGCATACAAGTACCAGATGCAGTGATGACCCCTACAGGAAGTAGGCCTGCTGCAGGAGGGGCGCCGCGGATGGATGACCCTGCGTATGTTCGAGACCTGTTCCTGGCCAACCCAGACCAGCTGGCACTGCTCAAACAAAACAATCCTAGACTTGCCGACGCCCTCGCCTCGGGTAGATTAGGTTAGTTTAAACTTGATGTTCAACTGTTACTTACAGTCTGAAACTGCAAATAGTTGGTAGCATTTAAATATTCATTATTCACAAAAGGAACTTGCTAAGCCAATTTTTCTAAATTATACTGCAAGTTATGATTTGGTAACATTAGTAATTACATGAGAACGGTGCTGTATAAAGTCTTAAGGCTTAGAAAACTGTTTTGTACAAATCCAAAGTGGAACAAAGTAAAATGGTGCTTAACCATTGCGGCATTTATATTATTTACATGAGTGAGGTATTCTGTCTCTGTTAGATGCTTAAAATTTTTTCCCCGATAGCACTTTTTTATTTTATTGATGTCTAATCATTCTTGCCAGCTTTCACTTTTACATTTTGATTGATCATGCTTAAGAACATTTCAGGGCATTTTTCTTATTTTTCCAATGTTAAATGTTTAATAATCATTATGTTGGTAAACCATTTAAAAATCATTGCTCCAATATTTAAGACAAAAATAATATTTGTATTATCTACAGATGACAAACTAATCTCTGAATCTACTTTACTAAACATAGCAGGTCAGTAAGTGTGCGAGGCTGTCAAGCGAGACATTGCTTGCTCTATATCGGCCTCCTGTATGATATATTTACAAATCCAAATAGTTAAGTCAGTGGTTTGACCATCTGACTAAACCGCAATGGTACGCTACTTTAATTTAGATTACTGCACAGACAAGTAATAATTGTTGAGGACTAGTTGTGGGAAATAAAATGTGTAAACAAAAAGATATAGACACTCTCAAAAGTTTAAAATTTTGGCCACAAACAAGTACTCTCATCACAACTCTTTCCAGAGTTGTTTGCCAAGGTGCTACAAGATCAGATGCAAGAGAGAGAGAAAAGACAAGAGCAGCGACTGAGGATGATGAACGCTCACCCGTTTGACACTGAGGCGCAGCGACTCATCGCTGAAGAGATAAAGCAGAAGAATATTGAAGCCAATATGGAGGCTGCAATGGAATACAACCCGGAAACTTTTGGAACCGTCGTCATGCTGTACATCACCTGCAAAGTCAACGGATACCTGGTCAAAGCGTTTGTAGACTCTGGCAAGTGGCCGTATTTGGTTATTTTTTGGGGATAGCTTCAAACAGCCAGATAATTTTTAATTCAACTTTTTTATAACCCTAAAGCCCCAAAGTTTGACAAAACTGATGCCACGAATAACATGGGCCTACAAAAAGATCACTGTAAACTATTCTGCAAACGTTAACTTGACAAAAATAATTGTAAGCTAAGTGTAAAAACCTGGTAAACCTACTTACAAAACTATGCTAGAGCGTGGGGTTTCCCCAAAAAATCAAAAATGTCTAAAGCCAAGATAAAGCAAATGGTTGATTAAAGCTACACAAATCTTGTTTTGGTAAGGTGAAGGCCAGATGTGCAACTCATGGGGAGTTGCCTGTATGTGGCAGAGCTTGGTACTCTTGGTACTTATTTGATTAGTAAAGTAAGTTATTATAAAAGTTGAAATACTTTAATAAATAAAGTCTAGTCCTAATGTCAATTGGTTAGGATCATTTTGGTTTTCTACTTGTCACAGGGGCACAGACGACAATCATGTCGGCAGCATGTGCAGAGAGGGTGAACATCATGCGACTGGTAGACACGAGGTGGGCTGGCATTGCCAAGGGGGTGGGAGTCCAGAGGATCATAGGGAGGATTCACATGGTGCAGGTCCAGATAGAGAACGACTATCTCACCACTTCGTTCTCTGTTCTGGAGGAACAACCGATGGACATGCTTCTTGGTTTGGATATGCTGAAACGGCATCAGGTAGGCTGAGTTCTAAAGTCTTATTTTGTTGTTGACATTTTTCATGACCTAATAAGGTAAGGGATTACTGTAGTCATTAATTAGTTTTGTTTGAAATCTGTTGCATGGGACGTTACTGCAAGGTTTGGCTCAATAAGAGTTAAGGTAATAGTGTAACTTAATATTATTTTTTGAATTAAACAATCTTGATTTCTTTCTTTTGCTCCTCTTTGGAGCATCATGACTTAACAAAACAATAATTCGCACTTGGTTTCCAACTAGGAAATTAACATCTCTTTTTCTATTATTTACTTTTCTATTGTTCACTTTTTGATTCCCTTGTTCTTTTTCCCTCGTAATTTTCAAAAAGGAACTATTTTCAAATTTTATCACATGTTATTTTTTTTATACCAGTACTTTATTTTTTACCTTTCTTATATTTGGAACAGTTGCATTGAGTTGACTTAATTACTACCATCTGAATTGGACAAAACAGAATAGAAAAAACACTGTTATGTTAAATGTCTTCTGACAACGGAAATAGACTTGAATATTTTTATGACTCAAGTGTTCTTTACTTTTATTTAGTTATTACTTTGTCTCATGTAAAAAGTTTGGAGGAAACAAATAATTCTTATTCCTGAACTGAAATTACTGAGTTACTGAAATTTTTTAATTTTTAATACAGGAGTTTGATTTTTAGTTATCTCTATAGGCCTAGTTCAGAGAATAGTTTAGGGGGGAAATTTTCTCACTTTGGGCACTAAGCAAAAAACAGCTTTCCGGACCAAATAAAATAATTGTTATGTGCCTAATTGAAGAAAAACCTTAACCAATTACAGTGAAACCTCACCAAGTGGACTAATTTTGGACCCAGAGGTTGTCGAGTTATCCAGAACATTGACTTTTTTAATGGGTTTTAATTAGTGATGGGCGGATTCAAGAAAATGTCGGTACCAAATCCGGATCCGGATCTTGAAAAATTCCAGATACACACTGTCATAAGGGTGGGTTAAAAAAACGTAATTAACAGAATGCCAATTTAAATTATACTGTTTAAAATTAAATTGGTGATGTTTAAAGATTAATACATCTTATATATAGAGTAATCTACAATTGAGCCCATAATCCCTCATTTTTTGGGGACACTAAAACTTTTAAAAATCATAAAATGAAACTTTGTCCTAAGTTTACCATAGTTCGATCCTGAGTATGCTATATTGTGGTTTTTACATGCATCATCCAATTTATTTATGCCCGAATCACCTCTTGTTAATCTCTTCCTTAAATTCGTTCCAGGTCCACAGTACTGATAGACGGGTATGTAAAGTTCTACAGGTAAAATACCCTTTGTCTGTGTACAAGAAGACTGTACTGAGTTTTAACTTAGAAAAATATGTATTAGATGGGGGAGTCTTGACTTTTTTATTCACCCTGTATGGACACAGATAATCTTCTTGTACACAGACACAGGGTATTTTACTTGTAGAGTGTCACATACCCGGCTATCACTACTGTGGACCTGGAACGAATAACAAAGAGAGATGAACAAGGAGTGATCCAGGCATACAAGACCGATGTTTTCCCGATTTTTTTACTAACACAAAGTTGTCTGTATCTATGTACAAGACCGATTAACCGGATAAAACGGCGGTAAAAATTATTACCGGTGGAAGTTAATATGCACGGCTATCATTACTGTGGACCTGGAACAAAATTTGGCGGTAAAAATTATTACTGGTGGAAGTGCATATGCCCGCCTATCATTACTGTGGACCTGGAACAAAATTCGGCGGTAAAAATTATTACCTGTTGAAGTGTATATGCCCGGCTATCATTACTGTGGACCTGGAACAAAATTCGGAGGTAAAAATTAATTATTACCTGTTGAAGTGCATATGCCCGGCTATCATTACTGTGGACCTGGAACAAAATTTGGCGGTAAAAATTATTACTGGTGGAAGTGCATATGCCCGCCTATCATTACTGTGGACCTGGAAAAAAATTTGGCGGTAAACATTATTACTGGTGGAAGTGCAAATGCCCGCCTATCATTACTGTGGACCTGGAACAAAATTCGGCGGTAAAAATTATTACCTGTTGAAGTGCATATGCCCGGCTATCATTACTGTGGACCTGATACAAAATTCGGCGGTAAAAATTATTACCTGTTGAAGTGCATATGCCCGCCTATCATTACTGTGGACCTGGAACAAAATTCGGCGGTAAAAATTATTACCTGTTGAAGTGTATATGCCCGGCTATCATTACTGTGGACCTGGAACAAAATTCGGAGGTAAAAATTAATTATTACCTGTTGAAGTGCATATGCCCGGCTATCATTACTGTGGACCTGGAACAAAATTTGGCGGTAAAAATTATTACTGGTGGAAGTGCATATGCCCGCCTATCATTACTGTGGACCTGGAAAAAAATTTGGCGGTAAACATTATTACTGGTGGAAGTGCAAATGCCCGCCTATCATTACTGTGGACCTGGAACAAAATTCGGCGGTAAAAATTATTACCTGTTGAAGTGCATATGCCCGGCTATCATTACTGTGGACCTGATACAAAATTCGGCGGTAAAAATTATTACCTGTTGAAGTGCATATGCCCGCCTATCATTACTGTGGACTTGGAACAAAATTCGGCGGTAAAAATTATTACCTGTTGAAGTGCATATGCCCGGCTATCATTACTGTGGACCTGATACAAAATTCGGCGGTAAAAATTATTACCTGTTGAAGTGCATATGCCCGCCTATCATTACTGTGGACCTGGAACAAAATTCGGCGGTAAAAATTATTACCTGTTGAAGTGCATATGCCCGGCTATCATTACTGTGGACCTGATACAAAATTCGGCGGTAAAAATTATTACCTGTTGAAGTGCATATGCCCGCCTATCATTACTGTGGACCTGATACAAAATTCGGTGGTAAAAATTATTACTGGTGGAAGTGCATATGCCCGCCTATCATTACTGTGGACCTGGAACAAAATTTGGCGGTAAAAATTATTACTGGTGGAAGCGCATATGCCCGCCTATCATTACTGTGGACCTGGAACAATGGCTATATACAGTACTGTGTATTTGCTTGACTCTTTATTGTCCGGATTTTTCGCAATCTGGACCGGACGTCCGCCACATTAGTCCGGATGAGCGTACATGGATACTGACAGCTTTACGTTAGTAAAAAAATCGGGAAAAATCTGTCTTGTACATGGATTCAGACAGCTTTGTGTTAGTAAAAAAATCGGGGAAAAATCGGTCTTGTACTTGGATACAGACAGCTTTGTGTTAGTAAAGAAATCTGGAGAAAATCGGTTTTGTACATGGATACAGGCAGCTTTATGTTAGTAAAAAAATCGGTCTTGTACATGGATACAGACAGCTTTGTGTTAGTAAAGAAATCGGGAAAAAATCGGTTTTGTACATGGATACAGACAGCTTTATGTTAGTAAAAAATCGGGAAAAAATCAGATCCATCAAAACCGGATCCAGCCCAAGATCCAAAATTTTATGGATCCGATCGGGTGCGGGTTCCAGCTCGGATCCGGTAGTCCGATATCCGGATCCAACCATCACTAGTTTTAATGATTGCATAACAAACTTATTTTTACACATAAAAATGTCTTACTTAGGCTGCATGAGTTATTTTACATTTTAAATCAATAACCTCCTAAGAAATATAAAATATTTAACAATCTATACTTATTTAATATGCAAGCAGGTTTTTTGAGACAATTACTCCTCCGAAACTACTGAACCGATTTACATGTTCTTCGTGTCATTGGAAAGAGCTTAACGTGAAGTTGTGCAGGAAACTTTTTTTTTTTAATAATTAGAGGGTGAGGCCGTCGGGCCCTTTAAAAGTTCATATTTCTCCATAAGATTAACATGGGAAAACACTGTTTTGAAACTCCAGCTGTTGTCAGAAATTAAAAGTGAGAAGAAAACATATGGTAATTGTAAACAGTCAATAAATCTGCTAATTTAACGGTTAGTTGGCTACAAACATTTACTTACTTGGTTGAAATGAAATAGTTACTATTTTAATTTGGGTTGGCGTAAATATTGCAATGGAAAAACGAGAGAGCCTGGATAAATTTATATACTAAAAAGAAAACTGAATTAACACTATGCTGCATTTCTTAGTAATCATTGAAAGAGACGATTTGCAAACTATGGAAACATAAAAAGTCATAGGACACCACCAAGGAGAAGAAATAGAAATAATGTGTTTTTTTTTTATATTTATAATCGTTATTATGGACAACCTAAAGCGGCTATGAGTAAGGCTATTTGTAGAAAACACTAAAAACCCAGATCAGCTTTTGAAAAAAGATAAGATATTTACAAGAAATGTTGATTATATCGATCTGTTATGTACAACTTGAGTATTCCATTATCTTTGAGTCGAATCTTTTTTAAAGTCATCAAAAATTATGACTGTTAGGCCTATTTGTTTAAATTAATGCCTGTAATACTTAGCAATTATGAGTGCCATGATGGTACGCAAGTGGATAAGGGCATTTAAATACGGTCCCACCAACGTTCATGATGAGTAACGCACTGGGCGGCGTCATTACTGTTCCCGTACTCAGTGCCTTGCTCATCATGAACGTTGGTGGGGCCTTCTTAAAATGCCCTTACCTACTTGCGTACCATTCCGTCACTCATAATGTTCTCGCCATACATTTTACTAATCTGTCGATGATATTCAATAGCTTTCACACCTTAAGAACTTAAAAATATAATTACAGCGCGCACTTCACAGTCGACGGCAGTCTCAATTGGCGGCACCATTTTGAATGCTTGAAACCGGATGTAAACACGGCTGATTATTCTCGAATTTCCAGCTAGGTCTTACCAATAGATGCCCAAACACAGCGCAAATGTCGAAAATGCCAATCGCAGTGCAGGAACGGAGAAATTTAAAAACGGTACTTACTTAAAAAACATGCCTCGTAGTTTATTTTTGGCCTAAAAACGAGTTTACTGCAGTTAGAACTGCCAACAAAAATCGAATTACGTAGAAAAATAAAACTGAAAGTCACATTTTTTAACATTAGTCCTATGGGTTGCTAAGTAACCATGTTGGTTGAATTAAATAACAAGGAAAAAGTAAACAAAAGACTTGTAAGTTGTAACACATGTGTTCATAAAGGCATAAGGCATCTACCCACAGTATACTAGAAATTACAAAATACAGTACAAAAGCAAAAACATCACTTGTTACTATTGAGCAATGATTATACTGAAGCTTACTTGATAAATTGTAGTAAAGGCTAACTTAGCAGTGCGGAGTGTGGGATCTGTTATGACAATTAGAGTAAGGTAGAATAGATTTCCCATCCTTATGGAACCACAGAGTACATCGCTGTATGGAACAGCTGAAGCCAATTTTATTGCTAGTTCTGCCCGGTTTTCTGTAGATGTCGTGCTTTGTTTACAATTTGTTTATCGTTATTTCAGTATTTAAAACCTCGTTTAACCAACTAATACTATTTAATCATAAACAATAACTCGTTCACTATATTATATTACCATACTATATTACTATATTACTATCATTGGCTATATAACCAAACAGTGAGACACAAATAATGAGAAACTAACCCTAAAATAATAGAAACAAATTGTAAACAAAACACGACATCTACAGAAAACCAGACAGAACTAACAATAAAAGTGGCTTCAGCTGTTCCATAAGGATGGTAAGGTATCTGCAATCCTAAAATGCTATGGGAAGGTAAGGAAACAGGTCTGCGACGTAGGAAGTGGTGAAGGAAGTCGTCAATGCGAGCTATCCTGAGTGCGGAAACTGTTTATGACGATTAGATTTTTAAGTATATGCAATTCTAAAATGCTATGGGAAGGTAAGGAAACCGGTCCGTGACGTAGGAAGTGGTAAAGGAAATAGTAAAGGTGAGCGGTCTGGAGTGTGGGAACTGTTTATGACGATTAGATTAAGGTATTGTATCTACAATCCTAAAATGCTATGGGAAGGGAGGTCCCAGGAAACAGCTATGGGAAGGAGGAAACAGGTCCGCGACGTAGGAAGTGGTGAAGGAAGTACTATAAAGACAAGCAGTCTGGAGTGTGGAAACTGTTAATGACGATTAGATTAAGGTATCTGCAATCCTAAAATGCTATGGGAAGGGAGGGAAACAGGTACGAGATGTAGGAAGTGGTGAAGGAAGTAGTCAAGGCGAGCAGTCCGGAGTGTGGGAACTGTTTATGAGGATTATATTAAGGTATAAAGTGAGCAGTGTGGAGTGTGGGAACTGGAAACCAATTGTAACAGTTAGATTTATGTATCTGAAATTGAAATACTGGAATGCTATGAGAAGGGATGGAAACATGTCCAAGACATAGGAAATGTTGAAAGAAGTAGTAAATGCTAGCAGTGCGGAGTAGGGGAAATGTTTGTGGCAATTAGATCGTATTTAAAATACTGAAATGCTATGGAAAGAAATGAAAACAGGTCCACGACGTAGGAAGTAGTAAATTTGAGCATCACAGAGTGTGGAAACCGTTTGTGGCAGTTAGATTAATGTATCTGTAATACTTAAATGCTATGAGAAGGGAAGGAAACAGGTCCATGATGTAGAAAATGGTGAAGGAAGTAATAAAAGCTGGAATCGCAGAGTGGGGGAATGATATTCCCCGAGCAAAGCTCGGTCCCCAGGTACTATCATTGAAACAGGAATCATTCATTGTTGAATAAATAATGACTGTAAATGATTTCTTCAGGTTTTGTGCATTGTAGAAGGAGAAGCAGTGTGGATAAAATATTTAAGCTAAAATTTGTTTTAATATCAATACACGGATATTTAAATAAATACCTACTTATTTTGGTATTCACTGGCATTATTAATTATCAAATTTCCCTTACTATATTTTAATACTGGTAAGAATATATGTTAACCCTAAATGGGTTTTACATAATGATTTGTTCAAATTGGTTGAATAAAAAAGCTGAAGAAATATTGGAATAGTTTGGTCCCTCTCTCTTTCTGAGATGATTATTTCATTTTGGACATCTAAATTTAGCTCTCCTATCTTTAGAACTTGGGAATTTGATAATGGGGACTTGGCTTTGCAGAATTATTTGTATGCTGCTATATTGTATTTGAAAGTTCATTTGATGAAATCTTAAACTGATTAATTTACCACTGATAACATTTACATTTTAATCAAAGCTTTTCACATACTAAATAGTTGTTAGCAAACATTCGTGCTGATGTATAATTCAATTAATTGATATCATTCACTTCTATTCTAATTTCTAACATCAAATAAATAAAATGTATAAAAGTGTTTTTTCTTATAATTTTGTTATGTTTTTTCACTTCCTTATTACAAAACACCAAACATAATAAACGGTAAAATTTCATTTCTTGCATACAACATTTTTCTTGCATAAAATTTTACCAATTTGGGGGGCAAAAATAGCTAGGTACATAATCAAAAAACGTTTTTTGCCTCCCAACAAATTTTTGACAGTCGTCTTGGTCTAACATCCCGTTAAGTGTTTAATTATTGTTACTTTTAAAATACTTGTATTATACATATATATTGTATGGTAGCCTACCATTTTAAATTTAAAAGTGCAAAAATATATAAAATCTTTTTTTTAAAGAACACATTAACACATTCATTAAATGATTCTATGATATCTATTGCAGTGCTGTATAGACCTGAAGACAAACGTACTGCGTATTGGCACGACCGGCACTGAGACTCCGTTCCTGAGCGAGAGAGAACTGCCTGACTGCGCGAGACTGACAACGTCCCATGATGAGGTAATGGAGACCATGGAGGATCGGGACATCCAGAAGGCCATTCTGGAGAGTCGTCAGACGGGACCTTCAGGTACTTGTTGATGGCAAAAAAGCATTAGGAATGGGAGAGGAAATGGACGATGAACAACTAACTTGCTCTAGTGAAGAGTTAAAGGCAGTCAACAACACACAAACAGTTCACAACTCAAATCAGTTTTATTTTGCCTTTACAAGAGGCTTTTCTTGTAAGAAAGTATTAGAAATGCATCTGCTTCCATAATTCTATTGCAACCTTTTGACTGACGCTTCAGTTTGGACTATCTATTCTGTTTGGTCTCCAGTTCAATCAATTACTAAATTTACACTGACACATTTTTCTTGCATAAAATTTTACCAATTTGGGGGGCAAAAATAGCTAGGTACTTTATATAAAAAAAGAATGTTTAATTTGAATTGATCGCGTAGCTTTTAAATAGGCCTAGCATTAAACATTTCAGCATTGTCTAGATTCTATGAAATATCTAAAAACAAATTTCCCCATAGTTTTTTTTCATACTAATTTCTATTCATAGTAAAAGGTTCTGCACACTGCTTTGGACCCTTTAAGCTGTTTTAATCATAATGTTAATAATTTTCCTACTGTCAGAAATCATCAAGTTATGATAGCATTATGATTTGAGTAACCTAGTGCCTAGTAATGTTCTAATCATGTGGTCGTAATCCTGTTACAAGGTTTGCTGCACAGTATAGTCGAGTGTTGTCATGAGTTTGTTGCTTACGAGTCCTCAACATCAGCTCTAGGTCTGGTTTAAAGAAATCAATACAAAAGTAATGTAAATTTATTTGTTTTACTTCTAGTTGTAAACAAAGCCATTATCAATAAAAAAGAGCATCAAAACATTACACTTAATATCATTACTAAATACAGCTTTGTTTTCAGAGCGACGTTCTTTAGGTACGAAGGCAGTTTTTTAAGTGAGGGCTGTTTTTGCGGATAGATCCATACATTACGTGTACGCCAAAACGAAGCTCCACCCCGCTTACTGGCATAATTTGTGAACGGAATTACACCATTTGCTGTAGCTGACATGTACGCTTTGCTGTGTGTTTTAGACATTTTTAAAGTTAGTGAATTTCCTGCTGTGTGCTAGATAAGGTCAGTGTTACCTTTTTGGATTACAAGAAACATATCCGATGCCGACATTCATCACTAGATGACTGAAGGTTATTGGAGTAACAGTGAGGGTTAAGTGTGCAAATGGGTTATGAAGTGTAAAAATAGTCATGAAAACATTTTTCATTTGCTGCCTTCTGTTTGAAGTCTGGGTCACCCACCAAAAACACAATTCCTTCTGCAATGAACTGTTTCACGAGCATTTTAATCCCAGCCCATTTCTGCACTTAATTCTTACTCATTGCATTAGGGCCATAACCTTCAGTCATTTGGTGATAAATTTCAGCATCAGATATGTCTGTTGTGGTAAAAACAATAAACTTACCTTATGTGTCACATAGTGGGAGATTCAATAGTAAAATTTTTTCAAACACACAGTAAACCGTACACATCAGCTACAGAGCTGCAATTGGTGTCATTCTGTTCACAAATGATGCCAGTAAGCGGCAAGGAGCCATGTTTATAAAATTTTTTTTTTAAATATTAGTTTTTCCTGAATGTAAAATCTTTCTTCCCACATTTAAAATCTATAAATCACAATGTTTTTAAACCAGTGTGGCTTAAAAATACATTTTTGTTTATTGTAAATTGTGATAATTGAGTATTTTTCAACTTTTCAATTAACCCAGAGGTAAAGGAGGACCATGTAAAAAAAAAACATTTTTTTCTAATCTAGGTAGTAAAATCCAATTGATATCTATATAAATAAAATTAAAGTTTTGTCTATACATTGCTCAGAATTATATATTTTTAGGTTATTTTTATGTTTTATACATTAAAGAAGCAGAAAAGTGTCTTATCTCTATTTCTGTCTGTCTGTTTTTCTGTCTGTCTGTAACACTCAAGATGGCATTTTACGCCATCTTCTCCAGGAAAACGAGAGTACCTATCAAGATCCAAGTCATTTTAATGTATTCACTGGATTGGCGAGAGTGTCTTTAGCCATTAAAATATGGCCTCACTACTTTGTAAATAAAATTACGGTTATGGACGTTCAAAAATGCAGTGTTATGCGATTTTTGTCACATAATGATCTATGAAATAATGAACAGCTGTTCGGATCAAGATAATTTTTTCTAGCTGTCACTGATATGTTTACAAATACCGCAACCATTTTCGAACACGTTTTGAAAGCAAATCCCAACCAAGTGAGATTAAAAACGTTTTTCTTACATAACCGGATTTAATTAATCGCAAGTGCAATAATAAACTGTAACCGTAAATGAAATTAAATAACTAGGCATCATCAAGGTCAGGAACCAGCAGGGCCGGATTTAGCATTTTTGCGCCCCTAGGCCCAAATAATTTTCCGCCCCCTAGTCTGGTCACATTTCTTCAAACCTTTATTAAAAACTATATAATTCCCATAGGCCTAAGTTAACTGCTTGAATAACACTCCTCTTTGGAATCAGAGCAAAGTTTTTTTAAGAATTGACTTGTTTAGCCTTAACAAAATGCCGTCTTAAACACGTTATTTAGCAATTTTATGCTTTTAATAAATGCTCACGTTTGTGGCCGTGGTGGGACTGAAACAAAAAACTCAACCACCCGAGCATTCCTGAAAAAAAAAACATGGCCATTGATTCCAATTCCAGGCCCAAAAAACATGAACTCCATACAGTGCGTCATACTATAGATTAAACCTGCTCCTTTAGTAGATTTGGATTGGCTGAAAACAATTCTTGTTATTTTGTTTAAGGAGTATGTTTTATCTATGTTTAAACCTAGTTTATCCAAAATAAAACGATCTAATGATTAAAAATAGGTCGTCTCCTGATTATTTTACTAGAAATTGAAACACACATCATAGAACTTACCCTAAAATAATAGAAACAAAATTACGTTGAGCCGACCCCTCGCACCGCCCCCAGACGAACAACTATTGGAAGCATGCCCCCCATAGTGGCAGTGCGAGTGGCCGCCCCACATCCCTAACAAAAATGAAAGGCCGTGGGTGAATATCAAAAAAACAAACAGTTGTCAACAAAGCCTATAATTAATCAAAATTCAACAAATAACAATCATCAACAATGTCAGCCATCCAAAGAATTCATTTAAAAATCTTTCAAAAAATTTACCCTTCTGAATTACAAAAACTGGTACCAGTAACAAATTAGGCCTAACAATGAAATAATTAAAGATGGTAACTGTAAATATACTTTAAACTTTGAAAAAATTAACAATTAAATAAATAACAATACTATAAAAATAAATAACGAAGAATCGATCATTTTGCGGGGCCCCCTTCAAATATAAAGTTTTTTAAAATGTTCGTAATTTCAAAGTATAACTTGCGTATTGCGTGGCACAACTATTATCCTTGCTGGTGGCAGGCGGTGGTGGTGGGTGACGGTGAGTAGCTTAATGGTCCCCGGAGAAGCTGGGCCGTAGGCAGCCCAAGGAGGCAGAAGATGGAGTGTCCCTCCGGGCGACCCTCTCCGAGGACAGCGGCTGGTGAAGCCTCACATCCGGGACCCTTTGAACATATTCCAGGCCTAACTAATAAAAGTCCATATAACTGGAGTGTAACCTTAGGCCTACCTAGCTTTTCAAAAAATAATTCCAAAAAACAATTTCCGCACCACTCGTTTACTGACCAAAACTATTACAAATGATTTTATTAATAAATATTCTTCTTTTGAATTTAGGCTTTCATTTAAAACTGTCTAGAAAGTTAGAATGAGAAAATTACTATAAATAAATTAATTCAGTTGAATAAAGCTTTAAAAACATAACAATAAATAGAATTTTAAATTTTACAAACTTAACAACACATTCTTACAGACATTTTTCATAAAAATTGAAGTTGACAATAAAAAATATAAATTATCTGGTCCAGAAGGGTAAAACACATTAATCAAGCACAAACAATTACATAAACACTACAATAAATACTTCAAAAAACAGTTTTCACAAAATATTAAAAATTCTTTGGCTGGAGGTGCATTTTCAGGTAAAACCGGTAATAACTCCGGTTATTACCAACCAAATTTGCTCAAACAGCTTTTAAAAGCTGTGGCACAGGTGCCCGCAGCTTTTAAAAGACATACCCATGCCTACCAACTAGCCTGAGGCTAGGTAGGGGGTCAGTTACCTACGGTCACTCAGAATACAGAATTGCGCTAAACTAAAAACCTTATAACTCGGTCATTTATCAATAAAACTAAATCAAACTTGCAGGGGACATGTAAGAGCATTAAAACTAACTAATTATGACCGAGCTTGGCCCCCAGAAGGTGCCATTACTGAACTAAAAAGAATTAGGCTGAGTGACATGGCCTACATTACAAATAACAAAAAAACACATTTACAGGGGACAAAGGGACAAAATTTACATTAAATAAGCTGTAGGCCACAAAAACAAAACAAAATTTGAGCACAAACTAGGCCTTAGGCCTAATAAAAGTTAACAGGGACACAGAACAAACGGACCCTAGCCCGCACAAAAGTGAGTTTCAAAGTGAGTTTTCTTGGGTAATATCTGGCCTAGAGTCTCGGGGAAAGCTTTGAAAACTTGACAACAACAAAAACTACTAAACTAACCAGACAAACTTGTGGTCAGACCACACAAAGCTTGGCCAAAGGCCCAACAAAACTCTGTTCAATTCCAGCCTCAGAAATGGGTCTAGCGCCTTGAAAAACAAGTAATTGGTAATTAAAAGTAATACCAATGCACAGAAGGTGCTTAATACTTGTTTTTCACTAGCCAAAACCCACTCAAAGTCTGCACAACATGTGGCCGAAGGCCAAAACTAATTCAGAGACTTTCTAACCTAAACAAATCAAAATAATCAATCAACTTACTCATCTGACGTCTGGCAAAACACTTAAACCATGACTAGAGTCTACGAAGAACGGATGAACAAAATTAACAGTGACATTGAAAGATTAACACTGATATTCATCGAAGATACCCA